CATCAATGCCTCAGAAATAGCTCCTTACACTACAGCAGCCATATCTAATTTTTGAAATTATGTGGAAGGTGAGGGAAGGGACCTTGAAGTTATATGGAGACTTAAGGCATGGATTTTCAACACATCTGTTTATCCACTGAATGAGTATTTAATTCATTTACTCATAAAAAATAAATAAACCAAAAGCCAATGGTAATAATCACATTTGTCTGCTGGTCGAGAAAACCAGGGCGTGAATTTACATCCAAATGCAAATCTAAGACAAGAACCTGTGTTTCAAGTAGGTACAAAGCTGTCCTCCCATGCTGTTGAATAGGGGTTTTTTTGTGTATTTTTTCCAATATTTCCAGTAATTTTCAACATATTTATTTATCTTTCATGAATATTTTTTATGAACTGCCATATTAACAGTATTCCATAATTATTAATTATAGTGTTCTATCTAGCAGTCATTTTGAAGAAACACAACATTTTTACAGCTAATGGAAAACTTTAACAACCTTGATACATAACAGACTAAGACTGTAAACAGTGATAGTCTATTTTAGAGCATTATTGCTGCTATAATTTTATGCTGCTGTTAATTTTATTTTGATGAGAAAACTAGATTTTAAAAATGTTCTTTTTTATTGAGTGCAGGAGAGAAAAGCAAAATATAACAAGCAATAGAAAACAAATTATTATTTGCTTTTACTATATTAGTGTTACATTATTCACAGCATATTAGTATTTATCGTTCATTAGTCCTATAGTCAGTGCATTAGGTACTGTACAGTAGCACACTACAACACATTCTGCCTGTCTGAAGTGGCTTTGTAGTCGAATCATGGTTGTGCTTCCTACATGGTATGTTCAGTCTGTGAAGAGAAAAATAGAATAGAAAAAACACTTTAAAATTTCTTTGTATGTGGTTAGCGCATGTAATATTGCGAGTCTGTAGTTCTTGCTTAAGACGTTTTGAAATCACAGATGGTACAAACAAAGGATACAGATATGTTACGCTCTATTTAAGTTGTGATACAGGCCTCTCTACCATTGTATCTAAATTCCTTACCCAGCATTATCTACTATTTGAGTTTTTTCTTTTACTTTTTTCCCCAGGGGAAACTATGTTGAAAAAACACCAACACACCTTTCTGTGTGCATTTCATTATATTAGTGGCATCATTGCAGAACGGCATTGTTGGAGTGCTAGAAACTCAAGGATGCTTGTCACCATTCTTTATCCTTGTAGGACGTTCCATGGTCTTTGAATACACAGATGAAAACTCATGTTGCCTGTGCAGTCCAGCTCTTCCCATTTTGAGGACATTTCTCCCGTACTTCAGAAGCACCGTGCTTGTCCTTCTATCAATGCTTTGAGTGATTTTGTCACCATGTTTGACCTGAAGCATCTATTACTACGAGGAAATGTAGAGGGGAAAGGCAGACCTTGGATGTGGCATTGTGTTGTACGGGGAAAAAAAAATGATTTATGGAGGTCTTTGCCACCCAGGAAATTGTCCGCTGCTCTGTGCGGTAGTTAGAATTTCCTAAAGCTGGCCGCTCTGTGTCACGTTTGACATAAAAGAGCACCCTAATACAGTAGCTGTAGTGGGATTAATCTATTCTGGCTTTAGACATCTACCCTCTTGACCTTTATATCAGAGCTAGTCATCATAAGCTCCCCTGGAGGAAGGTGGCCCTTAATAAACTTTGTAGGCTACTTTCCTGGGGGTAGAAGTCCATTTTCTCATTTTACCTGACAAATACCTAGTGTATTTTTTCCAGTCCATGCTCAAACCATTTTTGCATTTTCCTCTGGAGTATAGAAGAGAGGAAAACTTCCTTTATGGGTACAAAGCCTAGAAAATTAGCTAATCAAAGAATGAGAGCAGACAGCCTTATGGGTTTTAATAAGCTTAGTTTCTGCTGGTGGTGACTTTGATAGAGCCGCCCTAAGGAACTGGCCTTGCCTGCTCATTTTATCACTCCTTGCACAACCAAGCAGTTCCAGGGCAGTTCTAATAAGAGTTTGCTGCTTTTTGCTTTGAGCTTATCAGAAAAAGTGTGATGGTGAACAAGCGTGCTTCATATTAATTCTTTCTATCCTGTCATCTTCCAAGCAGGGGAGGCTGGCAGAGCACAAATGTACAGTGATCTTTCAAGGTGTGTGGTGGCACATATACTTTCTTGGGCACTCTGTTTCTGCCATGTCTGTTGTTCAAAATGCAGAGAGTGGGGTTAGGCAGACATGTCAGCGCATCTGGATAGTATATTGCCATTGCAGAAGATGCTGCGTGAGCATTTTCCTTAATAGATACCAAGCGAAGAACTGGGAATGAGCTGATATTACACATGCAATAATGTACTTTTTTTAAAAATAACTTTTCAGTATATCATTGCTTTCAATTCATGCAAATACAGTCATATAGATTAGCAGACATATAGATAGGATTTTTTATTTAAAGCTAGGATGAAATAAGAAATGAAGGTTAATTGAGAAAGCAGTAATGAAAGTTGTACTTTAGAGAATGTATTTTGGAAGTTTGTCTTCTAGTCAAGACATTGCAAATTCTTGATGCTTGCTGGATGTTGCTGTTTCTGCCTGTAATTTGTAAACTTTTTTCGCTGCTGTTCCCTGCCATAGTAAATATTAGTTAAATAAACGAATAAAATGACAGACTTGCTGCTTGTGTTGTTACGTATGTTTTACTTAGCTAGTTAATCACTCCATTCATTAGCTGTTAACGTGTATTTTATCTCAAGCCAAAGGAAAAAGGCACCTAGCCTAAAGCTCTCTTTGGCTCAAATGTACTGCTTCTCTTAGGTTCCAGGGCTAGCCTGTTGACTTCTTTTAATGTTGTGCAGTGCCATTCCATCTCTCTATTTCTGTTTTGCATTATTTTGTGGATATATTGTGCATTTATACATAGTGAGCTTTTGGTGTACTGTGCATGTGTTCATGGATCTTATAGTCCCCCATTTCTTGACATTGATGTGCAAACCATTATAGAAGCCAAGCACATAGCAAATTTTGCACATGAATAGAAACAATTTTTAATTACGGTGAAACAGAGCTGGTAGAGGATATTCATTCTAATGCATCAGTGTCAGAAAATTGGTTGCAGAGAACATGAGAAGAGACGAGGTCTTCCTGACGTGCTAATGGGAGTGAGGCAAGGGCACCCAGTGTAGCATGTACTTCTTTCAGCGATGAGCAGGGAGCATTAGTCCCACTGGAGAAAGCTTCTGACAAAAAGGTTGGAGCATGTTCTCCTGAGCAGTTGTGTCGGATTTGAGTTTTGAAGAATGAGCTTCCTTCCAGGCAGTTCCACATGGGCTCCTTTCTCCCATCACTGGGCCTTTTTGTTTTCAAAGGTCTCGTAAAATGGGAACAGCTTGTCCTTGATATTGGTAATGTTTTATTTTTCTAAGCAATTAAAATTGATTTTTTAAAGCTATAGCAGCTACTGCATTGAAGAGAATGGATCACTGAATAAAAAATACAAAGGCTCTGAGTGTGGAAGGCATGCTCAAGTTTCATTTGATTTCAAGGAAAGGCTGTAGGGCTTGAGGAAAGCAGGGCAGGATCAGTGCCTGAAGTTGGGTTGTCTCCACACAAGACCCATTACAAGAACAGACCGTTCCCAACAGTCATACTTGGAAAGCCTGAGCATCCTTTTCCCAAACAAGCAGCAAGCCTGAGGGGTTTTGTATCATCATCTTGTAGAACCAGATGCAAATGCAGGTATCCTGTGGCTTGCACACCTGCTGCTAAATATTTAAATGTGGTTGGAGATCACATATATTTCTGAGTGTTTTGTGAAGAGTTTCATGAAGAGTTTTATCATTCAGAGCACTTCTATAATTTGAAAATCAGAGTTTTAATGACCTGTACTTACGATCTCATTTTTTTTCATTGTTGAATACGGCAATGTTATCAGACCTAAAACCACTGTTTTCTGTAATTGTAAACATTAATTTTAATGTTAAACATTAATAATACAAGAAAGTATTCTTTTCAGATGTCTACCTTTTTTATTTCATGCATAAAAATAGGCTGTCTAAAAATTAAAATGTCCTTCCACACTTTGAAAGTTATGAGGGAAAGAAAAGACAAAGGTTTTTCTTCCCTAACAGTAAATTTTGCTATTTCATGTGTTTTTTTTTTTTTTTAATTTTGCTGTCACTTAACTTTAAGATGTTCCCATGTTTGCTTGTTTTTTTAAAATAATACCATGAAGCTAATGAATGAGACCTATTGTCTAAGACCTTAAAAGTGTTTCAATATACCATTATTATGACATGACCAAGTCAAGTTAGCAAATTCTGAAATGAAATAAAGAATTTTAAAATGGATATTTTAGGCTTCTGTATGCATGTTTAGGCTCTTATGTTAGTGACCTGCACTCTTAGCAGACACCATAATCTTTATTGACAAAATTTTGAAAACCAAACATTTACATTAGTAGGACTTTACCTTCTAAGTATCAATGTAGCCTGTTGAAGAGAAAATCTTTATGCCACTGCAAGATGCAGTCTCACTCAAAGGCACATGTATAGACATCTTTGCAGCTTATTTTTCAGATACAGTTTTGCATACTATTTCAAAATACTTTGAACGATTTTCCATTCATCTCTGAGTTTTAAAAATGGGGAAGATGGCAGTATTTACTTATTAACTCATTTATCATTCCATAAGCATCATAATTTCAGGCAGTTGTCAGGGGGACTAAATGGAAGAAATGGAGGAGCAGGACAAAACATACCAATAATAGCCGAATTTCTTAAGATTTGAAACTCTTCATTAGACTAGAGTGATACTTACATTACTGGAATTATTTAGTAAGTGATAGGAATACTTAATATTTTTATTAAGTTTTTTTTCAAAAAATATTTAAAATTAAATTAAACCAACAGCAAAATAAGCTAGTGACAGGGAAAAAAACCCAACTTTTTTAGTTACGCCAAGTATGATTGACTGATGTGCTTCTCTTTTTTTTCCTGGGCAGGATTACACTTTGACTATGTATTTTCAACAATACTGGAGAGATAAGAGGCTGGCTTATGCTGGCATACCTCTCAACCTCACCCTTGATAACCGAGTGGCAGATCAACTCTGGGTGCCTGACACTTACTTCTTAAATGACAAGAAATCATTTGTGCATGGTGTTACCGTGAAGAATCGAATGATTCGCCTTCACCCAGATGGAACGGTGCTTTACGGCCTCAGGTCGGTACTTCCACGATGAAGATTTCATCACTGTTGTTATGTGTTGTTGATATTTGCTTCCTGGTACAAGGTTATTACAAACAGTGGGTAGCGTTTTATGTAACTTTCCCTGTATCTCTGAAAGATGCCTGTAGAAAACAAATGACACGCTCGATGTTTCTTAATTTTGCCAGAAGCGCCTTCAGTCAGTTTTTATCTGTTTCTGTAGAGTCACCATATCTGGAAGGCCTGGTGGCTATAGGAAGCAGAAAGGCATGCATTAATTGTAAACCTGAGAATTTTGTCCAAAATACAGGCAGTAGGATTGAACATGGGTGCTTATGGCGCCTTGTGATGTGTCTATAGTCTATAAAGAAAAAGCTGCAAGCATCCCTGGTTGAATGGAGCCAGCCACAGTCAAGACCGTGACTATGGGTACCTTCAGTGATTTCTTCAAATAGGGATCAGCATTGCAATGTGTTATATTTCAAACCAGACGTACAAAGTGGCCTTATATTATCCTACTCTCTTCGTATTTTAAGCTTGACCTGTGTTTTCTTCGTTTTCTGTCACAGCTTTTATGGTTCGGAATGCTGAAAAGGCCTTCTCTTAATAAACACACTAGCAAAAATCTTAATGGAAGACTCAGTAGTATCAAAAGGTTCTTTCCTTGCACAGGTTAATCCATTTGTTACACTGGTTTAAACTATACCAGCAAAACAAGTCTTTGCCAGTGAAAGCATCCTGATGGCATTGGCTTCAAGCCACAGCCTGGAGGCAATGATTCATCCTGTGGGCTGAGACCAGAACCCAGAGTTTTATGTACCACAAAACACAGGGTCACTGATAAGAACAGGAGAAATTTTGGAGGGTTGCAACCAATTATAGAATATCCACGGAGCAAAGCAGTTCCTCAAAAAATATATAACAAAAGTGATCCCGAGGTCACACCGGCTCTGTGTTCTCTTCTGAACAATGTAGAATTTTTCGTATTTTTGAAAGACTTGACCTTCAGTTTTCCAAGGTTTCTCTCTACTTCAGAGAAATCAGTTTGCTACCGCAGCACAAGCCTATGAGAGTGAGGGAATGGGACAGTAGCTTTTTGAAGTTCAACCCATTTCTGGGGAATTTTTCTCTTTGGGCACAATACTGACTTTGTTCCACCTTGCTCAGAACAATATACAAGACATATGATGATGCAACAGCTTTTTTTCATAATAGACCAAAAAAGAAATAATGACATTATAGACTGGGGATCAATAATAGCGTCCTTCTGTCTGCTTGTGTGGTTGCTGTATATAGAGACCTTTTGTTCTCAGGCGGTACAGTGATAAATGTTACAAATAAATAGAGTGGAGTAATATATGTATTTTATCAGAAAGGACTCCCCTAGTTATCGCCTGTATATAAAACATGATGGAAGTTTACAAGGTGAAAAGGTTAGTTGTGATGGGTCGGACAAGGCAACTGCACTTATTTGTGTTCTTATTTGGATTAATGTATTTCTGTATCATTTCATATCAGATGAAAAGAGGATCAAATTAGCCATGAGGACTGTGACCTAGTCACATAAGAATTATTTATATAGCCTAGACTGATTTATATTGTAAACTTTTGGAGGAGAGAAAATATCCTTCTGTCAGTTGTTTGTGCAGCACCTCCCAGCACATCACAGGTGGGGTTTCTATACAATATAGCAATATAATCAAAGGCAATCAGCCCGGTAACAAAGTAGCAGAGAAGGATAAGAGAATCTATATCCAGAGGAAAAATGACTGGAGTAGGCAATTTTAAACAATTAAAAATATTTCCTTTGTGTATTGCTTTCACCCAAAATATGTGTGTATTTGTGTCCCGCTTTATCTTTGTCTGGCTTGTAATTCTTTCTCTGTCACTGCTGTGATGATGAGTTCTTGAAACCTTGTTGTCCTGCTGTGTCAGGCAGCATCCCGTCCGATAAAAAATAAACCTGCTCTTCTTGGGAGCATGCACAACCCTGAGCAATTACCATTTGCTTTTGGTGAGCATTTGTGCAAGTTAAATATGGTTGCTTGAACGTTCATTCAGGAGGGACTTCTGAGCACTCAACTTACTTTGAGTAAATGGGGTAAATCTGTTTCTATGTATATTTAGCTGTATCTTCTTTTCTAGAGGATGTTTATGAAATTAAAAACATCCATACATTTTGCTATAGTCTAAAAAGTTATCTGAGCAAGAATGTGCAGTTTCTGGTACTGGAACTTGTGACACAGAACCACTACTGTATGTGAACAGGCCAAAAAAAAATACATTCCTTAAAAAATCACACGGCAATTAGTAAGTTGAATGCAAGTTTGCCAGCTGCATAATTTTAGTAATTCTGTCAAATTAATAATTTGTAAGTGCATGTGTTCTGTATGGCTGGCATTTAAAGCTAGTTATACAACATAATAGTTAAGATCTTGGTACCACACTCCCTCTTGTATCGACTTAGCTCATGTGGATTCTGCTACAGGATCTTAAATGAGACCTAGGTTAGTGTAGGGGAATGTACTGAAGCACGGGATAGAAACCTAGCAGCAATGCCCAGGTGTGCCTGCTTGTTTTACTTTGAGCACAGTTATCGATTGACTCAGGAGCAAGATCATTTGATTGCACAATCAGTATGGCTTTGTAAAGCTCATCACTGCTATGATCATTGTTCATCAATGATCACAGATTTAAGACTATGTTTTGTCCTCTAAGACCCTATGCTAGTCCTAGTTTTATATGCTTAGCTAGAGCTGCTAGTAGCCATCAGATTGAGGAGACATTCATCTCCATAATTAATAGCCTTCTGTCTAGCACCTTGCTTGAGGGTCCAGAAGGGCACTTGCAAATGTTGACTGCAGAGAGGATGTCCCCCTAAACTGCAGAGCAGCTGAGGAATTGCTGTTTGTAAACTATTCCTGCCCACCGGGACACGTGTTAACAGAGGAACCAGAGCACCTCCCAGCAAGGAGATGGAGGAAGGTTGACCTCAGTACCCTCCTGTGGTACGACACTTTGTACCTGAAAGCCTGTGGGACTAACGCAAGGATATTCAGAGGGAACCCAGAGTGAACAGCAGTGGCAGAGACATGATCATGCCAAATATTAGGCTGGGAAGGAAAAGATCAGCTGTGTGCCCTTCTCACTGGCTACTGGTAGGAACACAAGTGAGAAAATATGCTGAATAACAGATTTTTGAGCTTTTTCCTCTGCTAGCTCATCCTTTGTGCTCCTGCAACTGTCTCTCCCTGTGCAAAGAAATTATAATATTTTCTTGCAAAAGCACCTTCTCAGTCAGAGAAAGGGGGCCTCTGTCATCCTATGAGATAGTTGTAATGGTCTTAATCCTTTCCTTTGGATATTAAGTGGTTATCCATCTGAAATAACCTATACGCTAAGGATAAGCATTCTTTCCTTCCTTTTCTTGGAGACTGGATAGGGCATTCATAATAACATAAATAAATTATCACCAGGATATTATTTGTTTAGGAACTAACTGTGTAAGGTCCATCTCTTGTTTATATCAGAAAAGGATCAGTAAAGAATGGACTTAGTCCATTACCCAGAAGGTAATTTACATGTGGAATTTATATGAAGCCATTATAAAGAAAATTATGCATAATTATGTACATACTCTTGATGAAGGCTGTGATTCAGCAAAACACTGAAATACACTGAAGATTAATCATAAACATATGGTTATGTCTGTCTAAAAGGTAGTACAAATATATAAATCCATTAATTTAAAAATAAAATGCCAACGCTGGCCACAAGTGGTGTTCCCCAGAGCTTAGTACTGGGGCCAGTTCTGTTTAATATCTTTATCAATGATCTAGACGAGGGGATCGAGTCCATGTTCAGTAAGTTTCCAGATGACACCAAGCTGTGTGGGAGTGTTGATCTGCTTGAGGGTAGGAAGGGGTCTGGACAGGCTGGATTCATGAGCCAAGGACAATTGTACAGGATTCAACAAGGCCAAGTGCCGGGTCCTGCACTTGGGTCACAACAACCCCATGCAACGCCACAGGCTTGGGGAGGGGTGGCTGGAGAGCTGCCTGGCAGAAAAGGACCTGGGGGTGCTGGTTGACAGCCGGCTGAACATGAGCCGGCAGTGTGCCCAGGGGGCCAAGGCCAGTGGCATTCTGGCCTGTATCAGAAATAGTGTGGCCAGCAGGAGTAGGTGAGTGATCTCCCCCTGTACTCAGCCATGGTGAGGCCGCACCTCGAATCCTGTGTTCAATTTTGGGCCCCTCACTACAAGAAGGATGCTGAGGTGCTGGAGCGTGTCCAGAGAAGGGCAACGAAGCTGGTGAGGGGGCTGGAGCACAAGTCTTATGGGGAGCAGCTGAGGGAACTGGGGTTGTTCAGTCTGGAGAAGAGGAGGCTGAGAGGAGACCTTATCGCTCTCTACAACTACCTGAAAGGGGTTGTGGTGAGGTGGGTGTTGGTCTCTTCTCCCAAGTAGCAAGTGATAGGATGAGAGGAAATGTCCTCAAGTTGTGCCATGGGAGGTTTAGATTGGGTATTAGTAAACATTTCTTTACTGCAGGGGTTATTAAGCATTGGAACAGGCTGCCCAGGGAAGTGGTTGAAACACCATCCTTGGAGGTATTTAAAAGATGTAGACATGGTGCTTCGGGACATGGTTTAGTGGTGGACTTCGCAGTGTTAGGCTAATGGTTGGACTAGATGATCTTAAAGGTCCCTTCCAACCTAAATGATTATTCTATGATTCTAACGCTGTGTGAAGCTGTTAATACGATTGTTTTGGTTGTGCATGTGTATTGTTGACACTCCTGATATACAAGAGCTTGACGCAAAATGCAGATTCATTAATAGTGAAATGTTTTGCAAATTAATCCTTAGTGTGCTAAATTCCCTGCATTGGACATAGAGAAGTGAAAATATATTGCTATTTTGTGAGAAAATGTAAAATTCAATATGGCGCTTCATTACAAAATCCTTTTTAATTTACTTTTGAAAACTAGAGAAATACACTAAACTTTGTAATTAAGTGTTTTGCTGAACGGAGAACATTGTTTCAGCATTTCATTTTTTTTCTAGAGCTGCCACAAAACCAAGGAATTCACACAGGTCTAATAATTTTGACATTTGTAGCAGACTTTTTTCACTTCACATTTTCTGATATAAAGTTGGGTTTTTTTAATCTCATCAAACGTTTGTGTAATATTTGCATATGCGGGTGGGTCCACTGAACCCCAGAGGGACTAACTGCATACGGGTAGGTCACAGTGAGTTGTTCCATTGCAGTCAGTGTAACCACTGTTGTATTAAGCTGCTCCTCAGTGTAAAACTGTGGACCAGATTCTTAATTATTGTAAGCTATTCTTCAGAGATTCCTCACTTTGAAAAATAAACAACAAGAACAAAACCTGGGTTACTGGCTATACAGTGATTGTATTTGATGTTTGTATTTCAGAATCACAACCACTGCAGCTTGTATGATGGACTTGAGAAGATACCCATTAGATGAACAAAACTGTACTCTGGAAATAGAAAGCTGTACGTAAATAAGAAAATGCATGTAAAACCTAGTTCAGATGTGGGGAAGTTTTCCTTTTATAGAAGTGTGTAATATTTACACTGGTGTCTGTAAACACTATGTGAATCATGTAATTACCACTCTTTGGATTTTCTGTTTGCTCGTTTATTTGACTTTTTAGGACAGAGTGAAGTCATTTATTGCTCCAGCCTGACTTGGCAGAGGTAGTGATTGGATGCTTATCTTCAACAGAGAGAATGAATGTTCGTATTTTAATCAGATTCGTTTTCAAGAGAGCAAACACTATTATATCATTTACTTTCAGTATGCTTTATTATGCATGGATGGTCTTGCCACGGGACTCACTCTGGGCTTTCAGATCAGCCCCATTTATGATTTGCAGTTGTATTCCAAACAAACAGAACCAGATTCCCTCTTCTACCTAGTCATGTCCTACAATTACAATATCAGCTTCAAGAGTTCCTGCTCCATTTCTGCTACTGGCTGGAGATTGTGGGCCATATACAGAAAAATACTAGTATATATTCTATATTCAGTTGTAGTCCTCCACTACAGAAGCTAATGGAAATGGTGCAACTCGCACTCTTCAGTGTGCGTGGAAAAGATCTGCCCCAGTTATGTTTGTCTGTATTCATTGAATAATCCACCTTCCTCTGGTGATTATCAGTGTAAATATACACTGGGTTTCAGTGCTAAATGCATATGATGTCTCAAATCATGCTAATCTGCAATTTTGCATGTTATTGGGTAGCATTTTCTGTCTCGCTAGGGCCATTAATCCATATGTGAATTTTATGAGAGTGATACCAAAAAACCCCCCCAAACTCAAAAACAGAGTATTTTGCCTCAAACTCCTGTGCAGACTTGTAACAGCACAGCTCTTTGGGACACCTTCCCACAGTCATACAGAACAAAATACCATACACCACTCCAGCTGTTCTGATTCTTTCCATTGTCTCAAATGACAAACCACGTGTACTGTGTTTGAAGCTACATTTGGGTCTGCTGTTATTTCTGACTTACTCTCCTGCTTTGCCTGCAGATGGCTACACAACCGATGACATAGAGTTCTACTGGAGAGGTGGAGATAACGCAGTCACAGGTGTGGAGAGGATTGAGCTTCCTCAGTTCTCCATTGTGGAATATAGACTGGTGTCAAAGAATGTTGTCTTTGCCACAGGCAAGTATTGTCATTTGCCTTTTCAGTGTTTAATTTCCTTGTGTACAACAACTACTGTTTTATTAATCGTAATTATATGTAGTCTTAGACCTGTGTTGTATGTTTGGCTAAAGAAATTACTTGCTTTATAAAGCCTGGAGTCCATGAAATAGCATTTCTTGTTTATTTTTCTTTTTCTTGTGTGTGTGATACTTAACCAGGTGCCTAAATATCTATGATCTAAATGAAATCATTCACCTCTGAATCTTACTGATCATATATCAGTGTGCTATTGCATACTAGGTCAAAGAGCCACCATTTTTATGAACACCTCCCTACACTTTTCAGTGCAGTTTGTTTTGTTCTCATATCATGAATGTTATGCCTTTTATATCTTATTCCTGTATCATGAATGTGGTGCCTTTTATATCTTGATTTGCACTGATGAGTATATACTACTGTATACATAGCCAGTGCTTTTGTTGTCATTGTTAAGATGCTAAAATTAAATCTGGGGGTTTCCTCCTTGTTTCCTTGAAGATGTAATAAAAGTTACTAGTAACTCGCAGCATTGGACATCTTCAGGTGACAAAGTACAGTGTTGATAAATGTTTAATGTTAGACACAGCATAGGAAAATGTCCTTATGTGTGACAAGACCAAAGCAAAACATAAAGCCATCAGCAACTGTGAGGCCACTATTTGGGACTTCTAGATTTTCAGTGTTCTTCAGACCACAGGAGTGTGCTGTTCCATCTGTCCCAGCGCACTAGAACAAATGAAGCACAACTCTATCATGTTTGTAAGCATCACTTCACCCACTCTTTGGACACAGTATCTATTTCAAAGTACACAGAAACACAAGTTGTATTTCAGAACAAAATGTAAATATTGCTGGAATTTAAATTAATATGAGGGGGTTTGCCAACTGTTGCTGTTCTTGTTTATCATTGTGAATGGAAGGGTGCTTTTTTTTTTTAAAGAGAAATCAATACTCTAATCCTACATCTCTCTGTTCTGCAGTCAGTGTCACCTTTGGCAGCCAGGGCTTACCTGCCCCTCCACAAGACTACTTGTATGGAGTGGCTCATTGGACAACAATGAGAATACAGAGAGCTTACTTTGGGAAGTTTTTATGGCAGTCTAAAGCCACCTTTTAGTTCGGTATGAAATATTTCAGTAAAGACATGATTTAGAAAATTAGAGATGAGAGAGTTAAATTCAGGAAGAATAGAAATCCAAATTGCTGTGAGACAAATATGAGAAAGAATGAAAACTAGGAGTAGACATTCATATGACAAAGCAAATATTTAGAATCATAACAGTTCTTTCCAAAAAAAACTTGTGCAAGAAGTTAAAAAGTGTCATGTTTCAAGGTTTAAGACAGCTTGACATTAGGCAGTAGGATGAGATAGTCACAGCGAACAGATTGCTCCATGTTTCTTGTACCGTTTTCTGAAGCATATAAGTTGTGTCACTGATGAAGACACAATACTGCATTTACTATTATTTTGGTACAGGATATTATGAAAATACATAATTAATGATGAAATTTTGTGACAAGTATTTCCATGCAGGGGAAACATCACATTTTTTTCTCAAAACCACATATTTAATTGTAAATCTGAAGCATGCTAGTGAATCTGACAGATATAGTCAGCACACTCTTTTCAAATATCTTCTCAAGACCCTATTTTTTTTATGGTCCCAGTAATTAATTAGGGCCAATTTCTACATTTTTGTAGAAAATCAGTCAGGCATGCCTTTTTTTTTTGGCTTTGAGTTTATTGAAGTCTCAAGGGAAGATATTAGTTCTTTGAGTGCATCTTAGTGAACCTTTCAGAGATTTCAGAACTAGTGTGCTTTGATTGTATAAAACTAAAAGAAGATTTCAGAGTTATGCCATAAACAGCTTTTGGAGTAGTTATTTCTCCTATGTTCCATGAGGAACAGTGCTGTATAATCTTGTGTAACTTATGCAAATGGAAAGATCTGTTCCCATAGTTACTACTGAGAAGCAACAGTAAGCATGAGAAAAACCCCATAGATAATGACATAAAGCTGTGCGGGGCTGCAAGAATACTGGAGGAACTGTATGCACGTTGAAGCATAGCATTGGAATTTGTTTTTTTTTCCAGACCCATTTTGTTAATTTGGCAAGATAATTTTTTAACTCCAATGCTATGCACTGGAAAATTAGCAAGTCTAGAAAATGAAATACGTGAGATTGCTTCAGAGCCAGGTATGATCGTGTAGTTTAAAAAAGAGAACACTTGGTGTGAAGGAAAATCTTTGTGTCGAGAAGGCATCTGCAAAGACATAGGGAATAGCCTGTTCTCTTTATCCATGATTGTCGTGGTTTAGCCCCAGCCAGCAACTAAGCACCACGCAGCCGCTCGCTCACTCCCCCTCCCGCAGTGGGACAGGGGAGAGAATTGGGAAAAAACTCGTGGGTTGAGATAAACACGGTTTAATAGGACAGAAAGAAAGAAGGAAACAACAATGATAATACCAACAAAGGAATGTACAAGAACAAGTGATGCCCAATACAGCAATTGCTCACCACCCCGTGATCGACAGCCTGTCCCCGAGCAGCGATTTCCGCCCCCCGGCCAACTGCAGTTTATGTACTGGGCATGACGTCGTATGGTAGGGAATATCCCTTCGGCCAGCCTGGGTCAGCTGTCCCGGCTGTGTCCCCTCCCAGCTCCCCGTGCACCCCCAGCCTGCTCGCTGGCAGGCCAGCACAAGAAGCTGGACTGTCCTTGACTGCTCAGCAACAACCCAAAACATCAGCACATTATCAACAGTTTCTCATCCCAAATCCAAAACACAGTCTCACACTAGCTTCTGTGAAGAAAACCAGCTCTATCCTGGCTGAAACCAGGACAATGATGAAGGGAAAGGAGTATTTAAATTGCTGTGAAGAAGAAAAGCCTGTTTTGACTATCCTTCTAACACCAGTGGAAGACCATACAGGCTACAATAAGATATCTAAATGGCACTGGATGCCTGTGCGTCAGTATCTGAATTAAACCCATAATGAAATGATACCAAATCAGCGCTGTCAACAGAGCCTAAAGAGTTATTCAGCTCTTGAACACCTCTGTTCTGTCAAGAGAATAGCTCTTAGGACACTATTGAGTTGCCTAAACATAGGTAAGTGGTGCATCTTGAGATGCTGTAGAGCATCCTGCTTAGCACTTAGCCTGCTGTTCCAGAGTCTTACGGTCTTGTGTCCTATGTGCCAATTTAGTGCTTCAGTATTAATTATTTAACTAGTATTAAGTTCTACTCTTCAGTAGCCTAAGACATCTCAAATGGCATTAGACACCTCTGTATAGGCAATTAAGTCACACTCTTAGAATCAGCTGGCTGTAACTAGATCTCCATGGTTTACACTGAGAGCTTATGTGCCATCCATGTGTAAATATCTGCATGCAAATGCTGAAATTTAGTGTCTAGACCTGTGAGCTGAATCTGCCGCCTAAATGTTTGTTATCCAGAAATGCCAAGAAACTGAACAGGAATTGGAATATGTAAAACACCACCTAAAAGCTTCAAGATGTATAACAGTCAGAGCCATATTAGCAACCTGTTGGTATGAGAAGGGTAGTCTTAAAAGGTTTGAAAATTAATTATTTGCTGTATTCTGAAAGATCAATCTGTAAAGTACATTTCCAATTAGCCGAAGAACCTTCCCAGAAGAACAGATTAAAATAAGAATTCTGTAACTGACCAACTCTGTTATCTTGGTTCATACTTGGATAAAACAGCAAGAGACTAATTTAGCCTTGGAGCTAGATATTTCAGCTGGCTAGCTTTTAATGAAATTGAAAAAGAAACAAGTAATTACTTTCTACCAAGTGCCCAAATAGATGAAAGAGGAATATTTTGAGCTCAGTTATTGATTAAGTATTTGTTTTCATGCCTGCATTCTCAATACTGTTGTTAGATTAAAATACTTCACGCCAAATCCTGTTATTCCTGTACTATTTAAATTAGCCCATAGACATCAACATGTTATATGAGATGGGAGGAAGGGTAACAAATCTGGTCCCTGAACAGCAACACTGTTCTTTAGGCAAAAACAAATTTTGATGGAATGTTAAACATCTAGAATTTCCTGATAATTAATCTCTAAATGTACTGAGCCTTAATTGACAAATCATTATCCAAGCATAATCAGGCAAGTAACAGTGTAATTGTTGAGCTCACCAAGAAATCAATGTTTATTAAATAAATTCCACAAGATGGTTCCTTCTTAGATAAATAAATATCTGGGTTTACAGTCTTTGTTCCATGCAGATTAGGACCCATCCTTTTCACTGTGCTTTAGCCATCCAGACAAGAGGGGAAAATAAGTGGGGGAAATAAGGGATGTTCCTTCTTTTAACATTCTTTTAACAGATTCCTGTGGTCTGTTTGCTGGAGATGAGATATTATAGCAAAGATGGCAGGCTGGAGGCAGGGCCAGTAGATCATCTGTGAAGGCATAAAAGCAATACAGGTGAAAGTCATAGAAACATTTGTAGTCTCAGGGAGAGCTACCCAAAGAATTGTTGACTGTGTAGTATGAAAAAACAAGGCTACCAGTTCATGTTTCAATTTCAGCCTGAACTATACAAAGACCAATTTTTTCTGAAGTTTCCTGAGATCCAGACCTCCCAATAAAATTTGAGCTTGGAAAGCCACCACAAAACAGGATGACAATCTATTTACCTCTCTGAAACTGAGCAATGTGTCAAGTCTGGTAAGTAACCATCATGCCAGCAAGACTTTTGGTTAGATTGCCCATGGAGCTACAGACCCTCAAAACCTACCCTGAGACTTGTAGGGCTGGGATTCATCTTGCCCTGATTTAAGGTGAATATAATTTCAGTGTCTACATACGAACTAGGTGTCTTAGTTGACGGGAATCTAGCCAGTGCAGCCCGAGTCTGGAGACAAATTCAGTCCACCAACAGGAGTGTATTTTAGGAGGAGATGGATAATTCTCTAGGTTTCATTTACTAGATTGACTAGATGAAGTGACTCTCCTGTAAATGTAATCAGAGCGTAGACACCTAGCTCGTGTGTATGCAGTTCAAGTGAGTCACTTAATCAACTGCTATTTGAGATGCCATAGGGCAGACTTCTTAGTCTCCCGCTGCTGAGCAAAAAGATGTAGGGGCTATGTCATATCCAGAAGCTGCATGCCAGTGTCTGAGATGTCACAGAGCATCTCAGAAGGAACAGTGCACCTTCAGATTCGGAACTGAATCTCTCTGTTGAGAGTCCAGCTCCAACTCTAGAGCAGAAAGACAGCCAGGACTGACAGCCCTAGCCCTAAGCATGGCTCTTAGGGTTCAATCTTCCTGCAGAAAAGTGATGAGGCCTGCTACATTTTTAATCTATTTCATGATGGCAGAGTATGTTCCTGTTTTATTTACATAGTGTGCAGACACAAGGCCATGGAAACCGTTTCATAAGAAACTCAATGAAATTTAAGCTTTGTTAGCAAAAAAGCAGGCATGGTTTCAAAGAGAGAATTTGTCTTTTGAAATTAAACACTGGTCATTGGAAAATGAAGAAGTTAAGCAAGCTAAAGTCTAAATTATTCTTTGCTGAAAATTATGTTGACTACTTTAGACAGCAGAAAACCTTGGTCTGATTTTCATGATGAAATAAATTTGTCTGACTCTACCAATATTCTTCTGTTGGTGAAACTAGAAGGCATTTCATCCTGGAAAAATTATTACTGATTGAAGTAATCACAGCAACCAATACATCTACCAGATATCTTTTTTTCCAGTGATAGTTCTTCTGAGATTGTTTGATAAAACAATAAAGGATAGTTGCATAAAGTTTGGTAGACCCTGTATGGTTCTGCTGCCTGGAAAGAGCGTAGTATTTTTTCTGTCATATGACTCGAAGTATAGCTAACTATCAGGAATGTGATGCAGAGAAATCTGTAGTTTTCTATTCCTTCTTTTGCTTTCTTTCTCAGGAAAGCCATCATTCTTCTGTATATGGGCAAATATAATTTCTTATGCTCATATACAAACATATGAACATAATTTACAGGGAAGTTCATAATTTTTTCTTTGTTTCTAGATGTAATTTTTCATATCTTGCAGATATTTGCATTAGAATAGGTGGAATGTGATCTAATATCTAGTTGGGCTCTTGGTATGGTGTTTTTTAGGATGTTGACTATAACTAGACCTTTTAGATAATCTCTTAGAAGTATCATATCTGAGACTAGTAATGCAAACACTGAAATCATGGAGCTAATGTGTGAATTACTACCTTTTTCTCGTACAGCTATACTCAGATTTAATCCTCTTTGCATTTGGTGAAAGAAGTCACAATTAAAATTTTAAGTGTTTGAGATTTCTAAATATATAAAATATATTCAGTAAGATTAACACCAATTTTGAAATACACCAGTTTGAAGTTAAATAATAAAATGTTTTGTTTGAAATATTGACATTCAGGTTATTAATTAATATTATTTTATTTTCATTATTTATTTGCTCCCATTGTAACAATTCACAAATCCTCTATATATACACACACATATAAAATAATCTTTTTTTTTCTTGAAATATTTTTGGAAGAAAAATTCAATGCAGCTCTAATTGATGTTAGAGGCCTTTGGATCTGGTCTTTTCCTCACTGGGATTCATTACAATTTCTTTTTGATGCCTTTAGGTAGCATGTTTCTCATAGTTCAGATGTAATTAAGAAGTGCCATCTCATGAACAACTCTTCCATGTAAATACAAAACTATGCACATTACTAATCCTCTCAATATAAATACTATACATAAAACTATGTATTTGGATAAGCATTTTGCGTGGAGACCTAAGCATCTGTTTTTAAAAACTAGCCAGTGCTCACCCATCTCTTCAATAATCTAGAATAATTTACTCTCTCTTTTCTTCCCAAATACAAATTAGTTGGATATCACTATATTCACTGCAAGGTTTCTTTTAATACCAACCAGTAATACAGTGAAGGCGTTTTCCCTACTGTTCTGCAGATGTCATACTACCCCATAAAATCTGCATGCTTTAGTTTCTACGGAAACTGAAGACAAGTACCTACAAGTCTCTTTTTTTCAGTATAAATAATGCTCTTTTCCCCTCCCTTTCCTCAGGTGCCTATCCAAGACTCTCACTGAGCTTCAGGTTGAAGAGAAATATTGGATACTTTATTCTTCAAACCTACATGCCCTCCATACTGATTACCATTTTATCATGGGTGTCATTCTGGATCAATTATGATGCATCAGCAGCAAGAGTTGCCCTTGGTATGTGCTAAGAGTGAGTGGGACGTTAAAATGCCAGACTGAATGTAGCCTTCTGAGGTTGTTAAAGACTGCAATGTGATGTCAGTGTTTTGATGTTCTAAAATAATTTACGTCAAAATCATGTCATTCAGTATTGCCTCTAAAGTGATGAGTTTTCCCCTGCATGCAAAATGTAGCTACCACTAAATCTCTGATGTGAGCTTCTCATACAGGTCCCATCTTGTTCTCATCAAAGTTAGTGTCGGTGTCAGTAGCTTCAGTGAGGGGACCAGCTCCAGAATCATACTCCAAGGGCTTGAGCGTGGGCTTAAATTTAGTCCATCTCAGTGTGGGAAGACAAGTGTGGCTCCAAGCCTCCTCCTGAGGTCCTGGGTGCTTTAACTGACAGTGGCAGGAACAGACCTGAAGAATCACGTGCTCATTCAAAGCACAGGGTCATGTCAGCTATGGACACATCCTGTATCGCCCTCAGAATTCACGCTGTGCCAAGTGCAGTTTTATGACAGCTTAAAGTGTCATTTACCTCATGGCAGAAAAATATGAATTTGGCACAGGCTGGTGATCCCTGTCTAAGACCTTTTCGGATCAAAGTATCCTTTAGATAGGGAAGGTGGCTTTAAATATCTCACAAGAAATACTACATTTATTACAGAAGCATACTCAGGGGTAGCTACAGACAAGGAAGATTAAATGGATCCATAAATAATCCTTATGACTACTGCTGCCTCTCATTTCATCCCAAATACCATCTTCAACCCTGTGTTTCCCAATAGCACATACCTTCCTTCCCAAAACTTGACTCTAAACCTATGCTGTATAACTTCCTGCTATACTCTCTTCTCAAAACAGGAACGTGTTCCGTAGTTCCCTTATTTTTCTGATAGGTACCACAGCAAACCAGGGCTCCAACCCATGCCCATATGATTCCCCATCTCTGTACCACATACTTCCCAAGGTCCCACATACCAAAACAGGCTGTGCGGCTACAGCTCTACTTCTGTGCAATATCATATTATGCCCTAGGATCTGAACTTGGGTAACTGAATATATTGTTGATTAACTGCAGTTACTGTACAATAATTCTACAGATACTGTGGATTAGCTGGGGCATATGGGCATGACACAATCTGGCATTACTACTCAGCAGCTAGTGCATGTTCATCAGGTTGTAGATAAATTGTAGCTTAATGGGAAGTGGGTCATAGAGTCCATACAGCTCTAATATATTTGTAAATAAACTACTGGATACCAAAGATCCACCCTGGAGACATTATGACCGAGTGAGAGGAACACTTAAAACACATCAGTCAGCATCTAGATTTTACATACCGGCCAGGACTGCAGTGAACAGATGGTTAGACAGAAGTTATCAAATCCAGTGACATTCCACACCCTTCTATAATGGATTCACACAGTTTTTCCTTGTTTAAGGAACACGGCTGTCTCATGTGGCCTATTTCTGTCTAGCGCAAGTGCATCAAGTACCGTACCATGATAACACAGATATTAGAACAAAAGTTGGAGAGTACATTCAAAGCAAGCTCAAGAGCCCAAATGTTCTATTTCCAAGTGATAAAAAGTCCTTTTGAGAGGACAAAAATCCATCTAATAGGTTCTTCTGAGAAAAAAATTAGAGCCTTGGTGATCATGTTTTTTTTCACCTGACGTTTGTATAATAAAGTTCAGTACCGTGGGTCTAATCCTATGCTCCTTTGTATAGCCACTCTTATATAAGAGTCTGAAGCTGATATCAAAGTTTAAAGGCAATATAAGCACCTTTGGACATATGTAATGAGCTCTGAAAAGCTCAGTTCAGAGGAGGATAAGGTCTGCTAGCTTAGGTATTTGTTAGAAGGAGGACTCCCTGTGCAGTCCTTAGGGACATAGAGACAAGCTTTTACTCAACTCCTGCAGGAAGCCTGTGTTCTCTGATAGAGCCTGATTTTAGTTCATTCACTTCCATGTTTTGCTCCTGTCCTCAGGAGCACACACTGTCTGTGGTCCAGCCTACACTGAACCCAGTAGTTCCCTCAACAGAGAAACCCAGGCATGGAGCAAAGGGTAGCTCAATCCAAAGACTATGTGCTATAGACACTGCAGATAGGGGCTGATAATAGGACTGATCTCAAAAGAAATAGTCAAAACCATCAATTCTGTTCAAAACTTAGTTTTTGCTAGTTAGCCCTAGAAATTTCTAAATTTTTTGAGTGAGGAGAAGAATAATCTCAAGAGTTCTCACTCTTGGGAAGGGGCTGTAATCACAAGATTACCCTATTTTTATGTGATAGGTGAGTGTCAGCTGATTCTCCTCCATCTGTGGTTTAAAATAAATTACTGATCTTCAGAAGGGCATTTACCTGCAGGGTGTCAGGATCTCCATGGGGACATATTTCCTTTTGGTTAGTGGTAGCTACCTTTCTTTTCGATGTACTTAATCTTCTGGATCACCGAGAGAGCCACCAAACTCTTCCTGTGTGGTGTTTAAGGACTTATGTCTGGAATGTAGATTACAGTCTGGGAACAGGCACCAAAAGTGTGGGTATTATAACCCCCACTGGGCGGGCTTCTAAGTTGCCTGTTGACATAGGCTTTGGTAGGCATCTGTGGGATGCTAATGAGATGCCTAGGGTGTGTTAAAAGGAATTTATGGGATTTCTGATACAAGAATCAATTTGATCTTAGGTAATTTTTTTAATCCCTTATGAGAAGCAGGAGCAGGTAATGTTACAAAGAAAGAATCTAATTCAGGCCTGGTGAAATCCCTTGGGCTGCAAATATGTGACAGTGTTTGCTGCAGTTCTCCAGCCTTCTCACCCCTGCTCTTTGTGCTCGCATGGAGGTTTTCTAGAGACTTTGTCAAAATTTCTTTAGGTAAAAATAATGTGTCAACTATACCTCTCATTTTACTGCAAAGCTGGGTGAGTTATACTCAATACAATTTTTAAATAAGCTTGTGCTGCATGTGTCTCCGCTGTATTTCAAGCCGTGAAACATCTGACATCAACACACACTTGTTTCACAGTTTAGAGGAAAAGCACTGAAAACTGCATGAAGCTGACCTACTAAATATACAAAATATCTGTTACAGAATCTCATAGGCTACTACTACAGTTCCCTGGAGTGACACTGCTTACACCAACAGCTTGATTCTGAGTTATATT